AAATCGAAAAATGAACAAGATGATGACACGCAATCGGTTCAAACACAAGCTAACTCGCAGCATAACGAAGAAGCTGTCAACGACACAGTCCACAGAATGACTGGCAGCCGAAGCACCTCTAGAATAGAACATGAAGACGGTGAAAAATACACGAATAATGCCAATGAATGGATGTATTTGGCGAACGTAATCGACCGACTGATGTTCATTGTGTACTTTGTGTTGCTGCTTTCTGGGTTGCTGTATTTCTTTATTTCTATGAACATCTAAGGCACCTTTTTAGCTATTCCTATCCTTTTCCAAAGGAAGTCGAGATTTTTAACAATGTGCCATACTCTTTCGATAGTCATATCGGGCTTTTTTCCTGACTTTCGAGCGAAAGTTATTTTTTTTTGTAATTTGTACGTAGTCAATTTGATATTTTTCAAAAACCCAAAATCAGGGTGTCCTTATTCTTAACTAGATTCTTATTTTTTGAGCAAATCAGATATCACGGGGTTTTACTAGGCTCCTGAGAGTAAGCATTGACAATGGAAAACGATTCCTTTAAAACAAAATAAAATTAAAAAAGAAATAGAATTTAAATTTTCAAGAAAAAAACATTATCAAATTATTAAGGTTGATACAGTGTTTGCAAACACATTAATCGCCTTTCTAGATACGGATGATGGAAATTCAATTCATTCTGAATATAACATGTCGTAATAAATTTGTTTCCTTGAAATCAATAGGACTAAACAGTTCGACATGACTAAAGTTATTTATTTGAATTGCATAGCTTAATGGAATTTTGGCCATGGTCTATAATCACCGAATTCGGTTCGACGACGGCGATTAGCTGTCGCGCTGAAATCGGTGATACTAACGTGCAACGCACCTCCGGTGCTTCGAACTTATTACAACTCATTAAAAACCGCACATATTGGTAATGAGATCTCCATCCTTCGAGTGTAATCTGACAGCACCCTAGTACAGAATTGGTAATTTCAAATTTTGTAAGTATTTTTTTGATTCAAATTGTATAATTCAATTTTAAAAAATTTAAAAAAAAAAGTTTTTTATATCTTAGTTCTTTGAGAAATTTTAAAATGAACTAAGAAACGTCACATCTCGAAAACTAAAAGCAATTGAGCAGTCGCATTTGGATGCAAGATTTGCAACTACTGAGAAGACTCTTACAGTACCCAACTGCAGCGTTGGATAATTCAAAATTTTAAGAAAAAAAAATAAATTTAAGTTATCCGAATTTTATTTTAAAAAATCACAAAGGAAGTTTCTGGAAAAACAACAGAGTTTTCAGCAGTCATATTTGGAGGCTAAATTCGCAACTCCTGAGATTACCCTGAAAGAGCCTCATTATAGAGATGGAACTTCAAATTTTGTGAAATTTTTTATCTGAGTTCTTTGAAACAATTTGAAAATATCCTAAAAAACATCATATCTCGAAAACTACAAGGATTTGAGCAGTCATATTCAGAGGCAAGATTCGCAACCCCTGAGAGTACACTTACAGTTTCCAACAACTGTATTTTTTAGAATAAAGTTTTTTTAATTTTTGAAAAAAAAACATAAAAAACGTCAAATCTCGAAAACTACAAGGATTTGAGAAGTGAAATTTGAAGGCAAGATTCGCAACCCCTGAGAGTACATTGAAAGCACCCAACTACAGGGTGAAAATTGCCTTATCTGGTTAACTAAAAGGATTGCGTTAATCATATATGGAGGCCAAAATCGCAACAACTGGGAAAAACCTGACAGCATCCCACGATTGGGTTGCTAATTTCAAGCTTGATGAAATAAACACTGAATTTGAACTGGAAAATCGAAAAAATCTTAACCATTGCAATATACGATATAGCTTAAACGTGCAAAAATAATACGTTAAAAAGCTTAAGCATGGCGAGATAGTGCAGCCCGCATTTAAATATATAATAGAATTCGATGCATTGTGGTAAGAAGATCGTATCTACGACCGAGGCTTTGCTTTTTCGTCCTGTTCTTGAGATTTATTTCAGTAGAAATATGCATGATCTATAATGGTCGAATCTTTTTGATATAAATATCATTTAATAACTCATATATCTGATCGTTTGATATTTTATTAAGCATCTATCCAAAACCAATATTTTATCCCAAATGTCAATTCACGAATTTTCAATAAATCAGAATCTATTTTTTAAGACCTTCAAACATTTTATTTTTTAACCTTTATTTTGGCGACAAAAAACATAGACAACAGACAAGTTGGAAAAGACTCAACTGACTTGTTTTTTTTAACTTAATTTGGAAAAAAACTGGAACAAAATGTAAAATTTTTATTCCATTGGGAAACCTCAAAATTATTATCAATTATCGAAACTCGAAATTTTACATTTTCGCTGATCGATAACAGACTTTGCCTTCCTTTTAATCAAGGAAACTAACTGAACTTGAATCAATTTTGAGCGTGAACAAACTAAAACGAACATTATTATTTGCAGGAATTTATGTGGAGAGATCGATTTGGCGAGAGAGCATTTGACAACGTTATCTTTCATGTGAATTTTGCTTTAGTTCGATATAATTTACTTCTAGGCTGGGGGACATAGCTCAATTGGTCATTACGGTGCGGTGGGGGTGAGAAATGGGAGAGATGGCTCAATTAATCCAAAACTAGCAGGACCTAAAGAGTTTTCAGTACACCCATCGACTCTTAAAAACTTTATCGAGCCGGCAACAACAAGTTCTGGGCCGCATTTCCTATTTCACGCAGGAATAGCAAAATGAGACAGACAGGTAAAATTTTCTAAGGCATTGAAAGAGCGCTGAAAGAAATGAACGCGCAAACGACGGGAAATGAGGAAAAACTTGTGTAGAATTATCCTAATACAGCTCAAGTGATCAAAGAAAGAGGTTTAAGAAAGCCAAAAAAAACTATTATCTGATTTAACTTCTTCCAAATTTAAGTTGGAAAAAAATCACGGCCTAGATCTTCTTGAGCCATATTGGGTTTTTGAGAGGAGAGTGAAATTTACCGCTGTAACAGATATTAAGCTAGCTTCAAAAAACCCAGCCCTCAAATCACATTGCCGATTTAGGACACAGATGCACCGCAAAGTCATAATTACTAACCGAAAAAATTGATCGAAGAGGTGACTTACTACTCAAGTGTGCCAGTTGGACATTTACGCCAATTAATTGTTACTAGCGTGTAACTCACCTCCATTGCTTCAAACAGATAAGTGAACGTACAAGTTTCTTTAATATAAGTTACATGAAACAACAACGAAATTATTGCAACCGTAACAATAGACGGGGAAATCCAACGACGCTTTCTTTTTCAAAAACTGTAACTAAAATGGTCAAATCTTCCAGATTGACGGAAGATCTTCCAGATTGACTTCCAAATGGTTCCATATCTTCGGAAATTTAAAATCAGAAACAAAACCTAAAATGGCCGACAGCATACAATTGCATTTTCCATATTTACCAAATTCAATTTAAGGAAAGTTTTTGAATTATCATTGAAAACATCAAACTCTCGGCTGTTTTTATAAGATTGAAATAATCATTTTTTCCAAAAAAAAAAATCACTTTTTTCGAATCTGTTTATTCCTTTTCAATTTTTTATTCGCTAGCTTTCAGTATTACGCCTCACTTGTGATCGCATCGACTGTAAAATAACCGAGGTTTCTGCGATTCGCAGAAGATCTATGAAAATATATCGGGCCGGGTAGCGCATAGTCCGTTGGTATTTTCAATGAAAGATTTAAATTGGCAAAATAAAATGATTTCAAATGAAATGATAGCACTCAGAATCTCGCAATAAAAATGTCTCAAATTGCTGATTTTTGCCCAAAACTAACTAAATTATAACTTGCCTACAACGGAAACGTAAAATTCAGATAATCAAAAACCTTTCAATTGTTTGAAAAATTATCTCTAGCTAACTCTTTCAATTTCATCCGCCAAGGAAAATCGTTTGAATTTCAGTTCAATTTTTAAAAAATCTATTCTGATCGGCAGATGAAATTTTAACAGCAACTGAATTATTAAGCATCAATTGATATCTGAATTTAGATTGCTAATTTTTGAAAATTCCACTTTTTAGTCAGAAAAAACTAAGCAAAAATCGGAAAGATATTTTAAAATGTTGAAGAAAATACTGATTTTATACCAGTTGCCGCTTATATGGACTCAGGGCTTCGAAAGTCGAGAAGAGGAGAAAATGTTCGTCGATCAATTGCTGAACAAGACAACGATTAACACAATTCCGAGTTCAAACTTATCCGTTGTGTTTGCGCTCGATATATACCAACTGCTGAAGATAGACGAAATACAGGCAAGGAAGCAATTCGTTTTTTACAGGCAATGACGTTTGGTAAATTTCCCCTGTTTGCGATTTGCGCCTTTCCCAGCATCTTTACATTATTCAAAACAAAACATGTTTTCAGGGAAACGATTGTTTGCTATTTATGCCAACAGACAACAGAGTCAATGAAAGCAAAGAAACAGAAAAAAACTGACTTAATTTTTGAAAAAAATTACTATTTTCGAATTTCCAAGAAAAAAGTATATGACGTTTTTGTATTTTAAAAAATAAATTCAATTTGAAATGACTGGAGTCTTAGGAAAGTTTTTACTCCGCAGGGATTTCTGAAAATTGATTCCACTTTCGAAACTAGAAACCGATTACGTTTTTCCACGCCATTTCCTCTTTCGTAGCTGGAGAACGAATTTTGCATTCCTTTTAGCAATGAACTTAAATTGAACTCGAAAAGTGCACATGAGCCCCTGAGGCCATTCACAACTGCATTAATGTTTGAATGCATTTTCTGTAGTTTTTAGAGCATTTTTAAACTTATCCTGGAAAAAATTATCACGACCTGTATAGGAGTCTGAACTACGATTATCGACTCATTAAAAATCTTTAGCAATCACTATATGAACCATTTTGTCGTCGTAGACTTTTTATTTGCCGGAAATTCTCTTATTGCTCTAAAAAAACACTACCTGTTGGACTCGAGTCACCCCTGATAACAATCAGCACTACAGTACGCAACGAAAAGAATCGCCTATTATCGGTTTCGCATAACCGTAAGATATATTGTTTGAATCTGATTTCTCGTATAATCTAATATTGCACAAGATATAAAAAGACACAGCGAAGATATAAAAAGACACAGCGAACTGTTTTGAGTTTTTTCTATACTGCTCAAATCATGACAAAGAAGGTTCTGATATGATACCACTAAATTCCTCCTAATTATTTTTGCGATACGCACTTTCAAGTCGAGAAAAAGGCGAAACCAAAGTGTGTCAGGGAAAAATTAGTGGTTGGATAAAAAACCAAAGATGCATTAAAAAAATCGAGCGAGTGGATATTTTTTGATGACCACGCGAAAGACCTTAAGACAACTCTTCTATTAAAATCAAATCATTACACGAACAGCCAGGTCTTGCCGCTTTTCGGGTAAAAGCACGTATCGATTGTGCGATAGCCAATTTACAAGCTTAATTTACAATACAGAATGTTGCCGTAATGAGAATATGGACAAATATCAACTACAGCCTTCCGCAACTTAAGTGGAACCCAGAAGATGTCGGAGGCCAGTGATTTTTACTTTTACAATAGGTGAAGTGAAGTTTCGCACAACATGCAACTTGCGATAGAGAAAGAATGGTCAATCATGAAAAAAAAAGATAAAAAACCCTTGTTTTTTGTCCAAATGCAAAAAAAACAGGGGATTCAAAACATGCCAGTATAGTAAGCTTCTAAAAAAATTAACTTTTGGCCTCAACATATATATAAAACGGCAAAAGAAAAAACAATGCATTCAAAAATCCAAAAACCAATGGGATATCTCTACTGAAAGGTTGTAATGTTGCCGATTCTTCTCCGCGAAAAGGACCACAAGTCAACAGCGAGAACGATATGAAAGAAAAACGTAAAATAAACCTTACAGTTAGAGTCATACAATTATCGGATTTTTAAAAATTTTACTCTGCTTCCAACTTGTGTTTCCATGTCTCATTAAAATAAACCTTAGCGAGAAGAGCCATATACAAAATACAAGCTTTATCGAAGACTAGTGAGACGAAAAAAATCGAAAAATTTCTCTTCCGCTAGAAGTTGATTATTTTTCTAACTCAGGCAACACCGAGCTTCGCAACTCATGTAATACATCAAACGCATAGCATGGCAAGCTCGCCGATAGAAAATGAGACAAAAGCCATAAGGTCGAAAAAATAATTTGACAAAAAAATTAACCGAAAAAACTACATCTAACTTAAGCCTCAAACGATATTCAGTTTGAGGAAAACAAAACAAGAAACGCAATGCCGAGCTTAAAACTAGCACTAACAACAACTTACTAAACAGTTATAAAAATAACGTTTTGGACAATTCAAACAGATTTCAAATAGACGAGAACATTGAAGACCACCAAGTCTTAAAAAATAATTACTGGATAGAATTTTTTTTAAAACGACAAAAATCGAACTTCTAAATCGAAATTTCGAGTCCACAGAACTTGCAAAAACCAACAGACTAAAACTTCCATGAATCAGAATCAGTGATTTTTACCTTATTATGTCGCAAGAACAATGAAAACTTGGAAAAAAATAATTTCAAAAACATTCATTGGAAAAATTATGGCAATAATATGACATGAAATACAAAAACATAACAAAACACGCCAGGAAACTAAGACATCGTTTACACTTTTTTTGAGATTATTTACACATTGACGTTATTTTTACAAGGATGAGAGATCTTTCTATACCCTCTAAGCGGGACTTAACTGATCATTTCAAAAAATTCAGAAAACTAAGCCAACAAGAAATTAGACGACTACCAATGAGCCAACAATAAATTGAAATACCCAAAAACAATCGTAACAAAAAACAAGGTCCGACCGGGAAACGCGCCCCAGTAATTTGTCATGAAGGCGCTTTACGATTACAATAGGTGTCAGTAATTGATGTTTCATCAGAAACAAAGACCAAATTTTTTCACATTTTCAAGAAAATTCTTTTTTTTTCCGGAAAAATTACTAGTTCCTTCAAATGCACAGACCAAACAACCAAAGTATTTTGGATCATAATCAAAAAAGCAAGACATTTTATTTTTTTCAACAGACTGTTGAAGTTGGTTACGATTGTATTAGCCAGAAAAAACTTTCAAATTTGAAAAATCAAACAAAACCAGTAAGAATAGTGTTGATGAACTAAAAATAGGCCGAACAGCTCTTTGAATCTAATAATTTTTGAGGGTCCATAAACTTTGATTCAAATAACCAATTTTGAATTTATTATCCACTTTTGCTATTCCTTGGAAATATTGGAAAAAAAAAACAAAATTAATTCAAGAATTTTTTCACAGCTCGCAAGTTTGTTAATTTGACGCATAAATTGAGTTTGGAAAATAAAAACAACCATCAATTCGCTAAAACTAAAATTTGGAACAATTTTTAAGACAGGTTTCTGGAAAAAAAACGACAAAAATCAGTTAAAAATCAATGCGTTTATCCTTACTTAATAACTACCTAAAAATTGCTCTTTCGAAATATTGTTCCGACTTGCTCAGGGAAATGGGTTTTTATAAATTTTCGACTTTCGCTAAATAAAAAAAATTATAAGACAACAAACAGTAAATCACTGATGAAGGCGTGGATTTCATCTACCTTCCTCCAAATAGCGTGTGGACTCCTGATGTGGTGTTTCCAGGACTTGCAGGAATTGATCATGAAGAATTTTATGGCCAGGCTATTTATTACGATGGAATGGTGGTTGCAAAGACATCTGTAATGACTATTCGAGTCTATTGTCAGCTGAAATTCAGATATTTTCCATTTGACTCTCAGGTGAATAAAATAACCAACAGTTAGTTGGAAAAGTGCCAAGAATTCAATAACTAGCTTTTGAAAAATTTCCTGCTTTCATTTTAAAGAAAAAAAATAAGTAGCACCTTCAATTTCTTTGAGGTACTGGAACCTTTTATGAATCTGAGAAAACTATTTCTACAGATAATTCTTTACTCCGCTGAAAATTTCGAAAATTAAAATCCATTTTCGAGATTAGAAACCATTCAAATCTTTAGCACCAATGTTTTTCGAGAGCATAACTTGCCTTTATTTTAGCAAAAAAAAATTGAATGGAACTTTAAAATAGCTAGCAGACAGTTGAAAAAGTGTCAATGAACTCAAGAAAACTGAAAAAATCCTATTTCATAATTGGCATCTTTTCGATAAAAATATTCGAATTTGAGAAAACTGAATCAATAAATAACTTTTTGTAAAATCACTGGAAATTCTAATTTGAGAGCGTAATTTGACTTCCAAAATTGAATCGAACCTGAAAAGATATCAAAAGTCAAACCGCGTAAAATCAAATTCGAACGTGAAAAATACAATATTTCTTCCTTGAAGCATCAAAAAACTAACACGACCTATACACATGATTTAACAACGTTCATGGTCGTTTACAAAAAAAAAACTTTTCCAAAACACTTTCTATAATTTCTTTATAAAAAACGGACTGCGACATTTTTTTTCCGCAAAACAGAGAGTGCTGACAGAGCAAAACAAAGCCTGGTCCGAGCATTCATTCTGACTAGATGGGTCAAGGACATCACAGAAGAGCGAGTTAAAAAAATTATCTCATTAGCCTTTCATGTTTCAGAAGTGTAATCTTTCTGCATCTCAATGGCTAGCAGGGGTAGCGCACTACACATTAGATGAGATTCATGGTCTGGAGGGAGAAATAAACGATCCCATTCTAGATAAACAACAGGGTCAATGGGAGTTATTGCCTCCCGTAAACTACAGGGTGTTCAAAGTATCTTGGTGGTACGACTACTACCAAATCGAATACACTTTAAAATTCAGACGAACACCGACGTTCTATGTGGTGGTATTGATAGTGCCTTCAATCCTGTTGGCAATACTTCCTCTTCTGGGATTTCTCATTCCGATCGACTGTGGAGAAAAAATTTCACTCGGAGTGACAGTCCTTCTAGCCCAGGGTTAACAATATAAACTCAACTACAAAATACAAAATTTGGAACCCAGAATATCATATCGTTCTGGATCAAAGAGCAATATTTTTATTCCGCTGGAAACTAAGAAATAAAAATTTCACTTTCGAAACTAGAAGTCGAACACGTTTTATTAAAAAAACTGGACCAAAAGATAAAATTTTTGATTCCGCTGGGAAATCTGAAAACTAAATTCCATTTTCGAAAATAGAAGTCGATCACGTTTTTCGTGACCTTTACACTTTTGTTGAGCAATAGTGGAGCTTGCCTTCCTTTTAACAAAGGAAATGAAGTGAATTTGGAAAAAAATGAAGGCCACACTGCCAAAACAAACACATTTGGGCGTGAACAGTTTTTAAGACTTATTCCAAACAAAAGCAAAAAAAATGTAAACTGCTCTGCAACCACAATAATTGAGATATTTAAAGACGTGAACAATCGCATAAACTGGTTCATTAACCCTCCCCTAGTAACATCGCAAAGATTCTCAGTAAGTAAAACCCCTCTCTCGAAAAAGGTAAAAACAAAATTTGTTCACCCTGCTCATAAAGTTGTGGAACTGTTGGTTCTGTCGGAAATTCTACCGCCAACTGGAAAAGGCGACTTTCCTATTTTCGGCCGTCTCGTTATTTACTCGGTGGTTCTGATAGTAATGTCGATTGCAGAATCAATGATTGTCACTGGTATTCACAACAAATCACCAGATACTAAAATGCCCAAATCTATCCAGCTAATCCTCAGTTCTGGGATGATGAAATTGTTAAGTCCCAAGAATGACGAAAACTGTACACAATCAACAGCTCAGACCCAAACAGAGTTCTCGAACATCCAAGATGCCGTCAACTATTCAAAATCCCACGAAATGACTGTCAGCCGAAACAAATCTAGCTTAGAAGACAAAGAAGAAGCACAATCAGTGGCCAATGAATGGAGATATTTGGCAAAAGTGATCGATCGCCTCATGTTTATACTGTACTTTGTTTTGCTGTTATCCGGGTTTCTGTATTTCTTTATATATATAAACATCTAATGCATTTTCGTGATTATTCACAGCAAATTACAGAGAACGAACTCGATTCAAGGTAAAATTTTAGTACCTGCTTCACCTTTGAATTATTGTTTCTTTTCGAAGAAAAAGCAAATATTTATGCTTGGGTTACTTTATTATTAACATTCAGTCAAGTTTTGACTTTTTAACTACGCGATTTTGATGCCTGGAGTTCAAAACTTATAAAATATATTTAATTTGGGAACTTGGGATCATTTTTCGTAAAGTTACGGGGGTTTGAAAATTGCTAATTCGGACAATTTGAGATAATCAACGCGCGATACATTGCGTTTCATTAACACGCGTAAGCGGCGGATCAATGCGTTCCAAACTGAACTGAGGCAAGTCATTTGTTCTTATTATTACGATATGACAAGCTAAATACATCACTTTGCAGCTTGCATCAGCGCGTGGGGTGATAAATAGAGAAAAAAAAACGGTTTTCTTTTTTTTTCAATTCTTTCGATTTTTATCAAAAAAAAACTTTTTAAGTGGCCTTAAAGTGCAGTCGGAAAAATTCGGGGCTTTGATCTGGTATAGGAGCAGTCTTGTTGTTCCGACTTTCCTAACGAAATATTTGTGCTCGGGGTGGTTTTTTTTTTTCTTCAGACAAATTTTGACTTTTTAGCTAACCATTTTTGACGGAATTTTTTTTTATATCATTCAAAAGGTATTGTAGTCCTGGGCTTAAATTTGAAAAGATATTTCACCTGTGATCATTTTTCGTAAAGTTATGGAGTTTATAAATTGCCATTTCGGCCAATTTGGGGAAATTAAGGCGTGATATATTTCGCGCTTTTGACGCGTAAGCGGAGATTTACTCAGTACAAAACGCGTACACATCCAAGAAACGCGCTTGAGAAATAAATATATAACTTCAAATCCAAAAAAAAAATCCTCAATTCAAATAACGCATTTAGTTTCATCGCAAGTCTAACGCATATGCGAAGCTGTACTTCGCAAACACAAGAGAAAAATGGCATAAGAGGGCTTTAAGAGGCCAAAAAATTTAAGTTTCCATCCACCTCCAAAACAACAAATAGGATTTTAGTTAATTACCCTCGCAACTAGGCCATATTGCCTTGCCGCCCTGAGCAGCTAACACAATATTTAATAGTAAAACAAAATATTAAGCAATGAAGTTCTTAAATAAAGCTGATAAACACATTCTTTTAAATCAATGAATTAAACCAGATCACAACAGATACTGAAACTGATCACAAAATATGATCACAAAAACTGGCGAGTTAGGTTGTAAAAAAGTGGACTCAGTAGAAAAGAGCGGTGAAGCACAAGCGTTTCCTAGAGCAAAAAAAAATATTCAAGCTTGAATACTCAAATTCCCTTTGGCCCGGTGCCTACTTAAAGTAATTTCTCTTTTTTTGTTTACTCACTTCCTTATAATTGTTTCTGACATAATTTGGTACATTTTATTAATTTAAACACAAAAACATGTTGCAAGATCTATCAACATGAAGAAAGATAGTTTTGGAGAAAAACATGCCAAGACATTAGCATGTGAAATTAATATCGGAAAACTCATAAAGCGGTAAAAAAGCCGAAAATACCGAAGCAGAAACTTGAACCGAAACAAAAATCAGAATTCCCACTTTAGTTAGTTTAGTTCCCTCTAGTTAACACCCTGGTTAGTTTAGTCACACCAAGTTAGTTCATGTACCTTAGTTAGTTTAGTTACCCTTAATTAGTTTAGTTGCACCTAATTAATTAATATGATTTTTTATCTTGATAACTTGGCGCATGTTTACTCGTTTCATCAAAAAAGCCTACCTTTTTCAAGTTGCACCATACAAAGGCCTCCATCGACATAGTCCAACATCCAAATATACGCGATGGACAAATGCTTGATTTCCTGAACAGTGAATTGTTCTCCCTCCGTCGTGGAAGAGACAACAGTCCAGATATTGACGCATCTCTCAATGTCCAGCAGTGCCGTTTTCACAAGACTAGAAGGAAAATATTATCAAACGATTAAATAGCCAAAAAACGCCCTAGGTTAGAATATTGAACTCAGTTTTCAAAAGGAGTCACATAGATAGTCATTAATTGGCAGAATAACTCTATTTTAGAATATACTAGCGTGTGCCGCACCTCCGGTGCTTCGAATTTTCAACAACTCAAAAAAAACTTTTCTTTGAGTGTACTCTAACAGCACCCAATTACAGGGTTCGTAATTAAAAATTTTGCAAAGTTTTTAAATCACGTTTTTTAAACAAATTTTGAAGAACCATAAAATTTTGTCAAGTTTTATATAAGTTCTTCGAAAAATTTTAAATGAACTAAGAAACGTCACATCTGGGAAACTGAAAGCAATTGAGCAGTCGCATTTGGACGCAAGATTTGCAACTACTGAGAGTACTCTTACAGTACCCAACTACAACGTTGGGAAATTCAAATTTTGAGAAACTTCACCTTAAGTTTTCTAATCTCGAAACAACCAATATTTGAGCAGTCTTTTTTGATGGCAATATTCGCCATCTTTGAAAGTACAAAACTACAGGGTTGGGAATTTCACTTAAACGAATTATTTTGTAATTTGAGTTTTCTGAAAATTTCCAAAAAAATCACAAATATCGTCTTTTCTCTTAAACAAAAATGACTTGAGCATTCTTAATTGGAGGCCGAATTTGCACCCCCTGAGATAACTCTGACAGCCCAGCAACTACAGGTTAGGAATTTCAAACTATGAAAAAAATATAATTGCTACTTGGAAAACTGCAAGATTTTGAGCAGTCCTATTCAGAGGCAAGATTCACAAACCCCTGAGAGTACCCTCAAAGATTCCAATAACATGATTGATATCTTCAAACTTCCGTTAAACATGCAAAATTATTATGCTTAAACATGGGAGATAGCTGTCACTCGCATTTAAATATAATATAGATAGATAGATTACATTTTAATATGATTACAACCATACAAAGCTTGTCCCAACGATTAATTAAATAAACATATAACATTAAGGAACTTTGGTTTTTTGAAAGCAATCGTCGCGGTTAGTGTGTGTCGGGAACTCCTACACCACGGCAATTGAGGTTTAGTTGATTGTCTGGTTCATTAGGTATTTAGGAGTCCTGCATGGAAAAGATCTTACAATAATCTAATCTACAAAAATCGAGCGTCCTGATAAGAAAGTTTCTAATCGAAGTCCATATTCAATTTCACGCTCAACGTCTAAGCTAATTGCAAAATTCAAATTCAAACTCTTTTTTGTTGACTTTAAAAGCTCGCCCATAGCAAATATTTTTTCTTTGAATTTCTCACCACCACTGACTTCATTATTGTTTTGCCGGGATTTGTCTCAACTTTAGCCCTGGAATTCAACAAGACACAAACTTGATGAACATTACTTTGTTCTATAAGTCTCACCATTTTTTCTCTGGACCTACCTTAAGTCACCTTAACAATTTATGAATGACTTCATCAAAGTTACAGAGGCCAACCATATGATACGCACTATGGGTCAGAGTTTGCATGAGCATCACAATTCCCAATCTGCAAATTCAATTTTAAACCTTCAAAAAGCGCTAAAGGTATCTTCGACTTCGCACCATAACACAAAAAGCATAGACCGAAAAAAAAGAATTTAAACAAAGTCAGAGTCAGAGTTAGTGAATTAACAAATTGCAAAAAAGAATCAGCAAAAATCATTTACATCGGAAATTTTTAAAAGCAAAACAAATCGGTGACAATCCAAAAAAGCCGACAAAAATATAAGCAGACAAACGATAGGCCGATAAAATTTTTGAAACTCAAAACTTTCAGCTTGAAACAAAAGTTCTTAGCCGGATTTGAACCTAGTCGTGAACAAATTTAATTTTTAGAAGAGAAATGTCCCGAAGGCAACAAATATCCTTGCTTCTCGCAAGTGTAATAAAATGAAAATGGAGAAATTGGGCTAAAAAGATCCAAATTTCTCAGAATTACAAAATAATGTATAGCTGCTATGAAATACTGAAATGAGAAAATGTTTTGAGTCAATAGGCACTCTTCATTTTCTGAGAAATAACTTTTCTGTAGATTAAGCACTTTCGCAAGGGTGGCAGCGAATTTTGAAAAAACGTCAGCAATTTTTTCGATCGTTTTCAATTTCGGAGGTCCTCTAAATAGTCACCATTTTGACAAGAAGTTAAGCGCCCCAGACAGTTTATGGCATGATTTGAGCTGAGGATGTTTCAACAACACAAAACGCGATACTCGTTTAGAAATATGGCGGTAGAATTTGTAATTATTCGAACACGAAAAGCTGGTTCAGAAGTGTGGTCTCACCATTTACACAGAGTAGCTATTGTGCGTCGCAAAACACAAGCAAGAAAAATGCAAAACAGAGCTCTAACAGGCAAAACAAAGTGAAACAAGGAAAAACGAGAAGATAAAAAATACACCTTGTGAAAAAATTTAAATATCAATTTTGAGATTAGGGGTATCACATCTGCTCCACGACCGCTTGTAACTTTACTACACAGAGGCGAAGTTGCACTTCGCATGCACAAGTAAAAACATGACCGATAACGCTACTGGGAAAAACTGAATGAGTGAAACTTTGAGTCTACAAAACTTCTTAAGTGACGCACGCCAAATATGAGGCTACATAATTGCTAAGTGACGCAAGCCAATTATGACGCATTAGCAGTACCGATCAATTTGAAAAATTACCAAATAACATGCCTCAATTTATAGAGCGGACGCATTCTGGCTAGTATACGAATAAGTTCATTAAAAACATCCGACCCTTCCTAGGTTCGAATACTCTTATTTTGTAGCGGTCTCCTTCCCTACCTCTACGCTACAGATCCATGAAACCTTGAAGCTTAAGTCCTATTTGTAATATACTAGTCTGCGTTTATATCATTAGCATTGGCTGTACTTAATAGCTGGTTATTGATCAAAATGAACACTTTCAAAAATGAACACATTTTGTCGCAACAATATTTGCGCCGCAACAATATTTGCGTCGCAACAATATTTGCAAGTTCATACTATAACACAAGCTTTGCTTGTGTAAACACTTGCCACCAGTAAAGCAGCAAAAATTCGAGCAAAAAATAAAACTATTTCAATGTTCCGGATTTGAATCTCAGACCTGTTGATTAGGAGTGCCACTCACGTCCTCGAATCTGCGCAACGGTCACTTGGCTAATGCTGAATGTACCTGTTTTAATTTTTTAATTCATATATTGTATTGATAAGGAAGTGTGTAATTTTCAAAAAACTGATTTTCCGCAAAACCCAAGTAATTTCTCTACTTATGTAGGAGATTTGCTGCTCATTTAAAGGAGAAAGCGACTACTCGCTCTTTAAATTTAATTCTTTATCTCCGATTTGGCTTGGTAAAAAGTAAAATCTATTCAAAGTATTTCAAATGGATCAAATGGACGGATTTGTCAAAATACCAGTTGACAGGCAAAACTGTGACCCATAAAATAAGGTTATAAGGGAAAAAGTTTATCAAAATCAAAAATTCTTTATCATATACACGAATCAAGGTGGTGGCAGATAATCGAAAAAGCTTATATCTTTTACGAACTTATTTGTTGATAATTCTAATATGATTTCAGCTTAAACCTTATTTTATAATCTATTACATAAATTTTGGTTTTATTATTGTAATGTTTAACAGTACCACAGTGGCTGTTATGGGACCATAATTCAAAACGAGCATTAAAAAGCTCTAACGCTTGTCGAATGACGCTTCAAAAGCAAAAATTTACAAAGATTAATCCAATGAAATTTTTAAAACTTATTTCTCTACTATTTCAAATTTATGTCAAAACCAACCCTGCACCTTAATTAGACAGCAATTATGTATTTACCTGCTCGAATAAAAACGAACAACTTTAAATTCTTGGTTCGGTTTTTTGTCCAGCAAAGAAACGGCCAATTTTCGATAAGAGATCAACTTAGAGATCAAGTTAGTCAATTGTCGTATTTACACGATACTAAAGCCCGTTAGAGCCCCCAGCAAAATAAAGCCCCAAAATAGTAAAATCATAGTGTGAATCGCTTCACTTTTTTGTGTTAGTAGGCTGGCAATTGGAAACATCCAAAAACACAATTAACCTATGTAAATGTGTCCTTTTCGTTCATGACTTTTTACAACGCCTAGAATTGATTTGGAGACACAATGGCTAATCTGCTGCACCCGTGGTCTTACGTTAAAATGATGGGTGTTTTTAGAGTATTGTACTTACATGGATGCGCTTTTCCTTGCAGAAGTTGTGAACAGACATGCGAGTATCTCCGAAATTTGCACATCGTCCGGATCCTGCATCAAGCTTTCGTAAATTATGATTATGTCAATTAGCTTTTGAATAATTTACTTAAATTTTCGGGAAAACTCACCTTGAAACTATCAAAAACAGACTTTTCTGTAGAAGAAAAAGATTCGACAGCTTTCGAAAATGCATGTTTAACAGTAAAACGATTTTCACCACCCATTATGCTTCTGAAGATAAAATAAAAATATGACAGCAATGTTTCGACACCTTTTGAAGTGATGCGTAATAGAGTCACGAGAGCTAGAGGTAGCTGATCTTAAATCCGTTGTCGGTAAAAAAGCGCCCCATTTGTACTACAAAAATGAATGACTATGTAACAAATACTTTAAAGCTAGCTTAATTAATTTCGCCAAATTGAACTGAAAACTAAAATCTAGATAAAAGTAATTCAATGTAATTTAGGAGTTCAACAAAGGAAGAAAATTAACACAGAGGCGAAGCTGAGCTTCGCATCACTTGCGATACAAAACAAGAAAGCCGCTAAGTCAGAAAAAAAATTGAAGAAAAAAAATCGAAAATGACCAAAAAAACTAGAATTTTAAAAAATACTAGTTTTCAAACAAATAATAATGCGAAGACGATGGAATGTGAAATAAGTATCGGAATAAAATTTACCAAACGGTATCAAAGTCAAAAACGCAAATTTTTTTTCGCTCGTCGAAAGACGCAATATGGACGTAAAACCGATATGACATAGGCCAAAATCTATCAAGTCGAAAGAAAAGGAAAAACAAAAGCAGAAAAAAAATTGTTAACATGAAAAACTTTAACTAGAATTTCAATTAAGGTTTTTAGCACTTTGTTAAATAAAAATTTTGCTTTCCTTGAAACGAATCGAAATTAGAACAATAAGCCGATGAGAAAGAGGCCGAAATCATTTGGGCAGAATAAAGTTTTTGAGCGAAAAAATAAAACTTTTAAAGTCAAGACTAGTAAATTTACAAACATCAGAGTTAAATCAGAAAACTAAACGCAAAAGTATCTTAAAAAAAAACAACAATTATACAATATGACAACTAAGCCGACAAAATATAAGCAGACAAAAATAAGCCGAAATTTTTTTGTGAGACGGAATATTTCCCGTTTGAAAAAAAAACAGGTCCTGCCAGATTCAAACTCAGGACCTTTTCCGTCCCAGGCGTATTCCCTACTTCCTGACCGAGGGTGCCGGACACACAGAAGTTAGAATTAACTAAGAACTTAATTTACCATTTCGAATTTTGACCATTCTGGGCCGAAAGTTATTTGCGGGAAAAAAGTCTAGTATCCGATTGCAAAACCCTTGCTATCGCAAGGGTAGTAAGTGAAACGATAATAAAAACGGCCTTTTTTCAAATTTTGCAATCAGATGAAATCTCGTTTTCTGATAAAGTTTAAAACAATTTGCGCTCAGATTTGTTTTAATTAAAATTTTAGAAATTAAATTACTAGCTTGCACTAAATGCGCGAACCAATACTTAATATTACACTGTCAAACTATTTAAGAAAAAAAATCAACGTTGTTTTTATTTGATTTTGTAAGAATGCAAAACCGCTAATTTAAGTTATTCTGAGGACTCTTTCAGTTCTTTTCACTCATAGGTGGATTTGAAACCATTTTCAGCAAATAAATTGTGAGAAAACATGTTGAAAAAAAACACATTGTTTTTTTTTCAAAAACCGGTAGATCAACAAAAGATCGAAAAAACTTTGAATATCTAGGGTCCAGCACAAGTTAAGTGGACCAAAAAAAACTAAACAAACTGATAATTTAAAAATACAAAGATCATAATGATTTCAAATCTTTCCGAATGCACACAATTAATCGCGATCAGCCTTTCGAACCATCTATTACCAAAAATGTAGATTGTAGAAACCAACAAAGCAGAAAACACGCCAACAGAATTTCGTAGGAAATTTTAAACCAAAACAAAATCTTGGAACTCAATTTTTGTACCATTAGCAATCATAAAAATACGCCAAACGGGCAAAATTAGGAGTTGAAAAACTATATGCTCATAGAGTCAACTAATGAATTCTGCGAAAAAAATGATAGTACTCGGTTGCAATAAATTTGACAATGCAAGGGTAATAAATCTTGACAACTGAAGACATTAATGTGAAATGGAGATAATCATTTGAAAATTACATGGATCAAATCGGACTCTTCAATGCTGTTTTGCAGCATGAAATCTTATTTCAACAAATTTTCGAAGATTTCACTACCCTTCAGTTTGACCTTTCATTGGTCAACGAAATTATACGAACACAAAAATCAAGTATGAAACGAAAGTTAGTATTCCCTTCGCAAACAGTAGCGAAAAAACAACAATAGCATCTCTAAAAAGTGAAATTAGAACAGAAAAAGTAAAAATAAGCCTTGAAAATTAATATTTTTGGCAGCGGCGCATTCGATTCTGCAACCACGAGATTTGAAGTCCCCTGTCCTTGCATCTGAGCCATGAGCCCTTGACAATTTAGTAACACTAGCCATAAATAAAGCAGCTACATAAGCTAATAAATTGCCAATGCAATGCAGCAAAAGCGCTACAATACCAACAGACAAATTTGCATGTACTAATTTGGAATATGAGAAACTGAAGGCATCCACACTAGCTTGGAAAGCATAAAACCAAATTGCATAAAAAATCCATTTCAAAAAACTGCGAGATATATTGAGTTGGAAAATTTCTGAAATTGAATTTTGATTGTTTGCCACAAATAAATTTTTTCGATTCATTTGATGAAAAAAAATGCATTAATTCTGTTAACTTAAGACTAATCGAATATAGAAGCACTTGCTATAAAAAGCCGTTAAGATGCCCCAATGGAACCAATACTTGCGACATAGGTTCAAAAAAAGATTAGTCATTTTATCTATAGCTCGCAGGTGTAAAAATAAGATATTCCTACATCAATTGAGTACAAATTACTAGATGTTTCTAAGCAAAAAAACTGCTTATAATTAAGTTCTAACCATCACATATATTCATAGGGACCAAATTATGCATGGATAAAATGAACTAAAAGCAGAAAGAACGCCTGGAGAGAAAATAATCCTTGAAAAAGAAAATTTTGAACACTAGTCACTTACTTCAGCCCTTCCGCCACGATTGCTCTCTTCACAAAAATAATGGTTTTTCAATGCGCTTGAAACAAGGGACAGCAAAATTTATTTGATATTTACTAAGCGGAACTATAAGTTCAATCATATAATAAAAAATCAATATATAAAACAATCTTACAAATTAAATGAAATCAAAAAAATAGTATATCCAACATATGGTTGGAAGAATGCAAAAAAAACCAAGACAAAGTTGATTTAAAAAATTTTGAACATGTTTCGACGAAATCAGTTTATCACGTTAACGCTATTCGAATTTCAAGAATAGCTAAGGATTAGCATATTTTTCTTGAAATTATCGCATTCAAGGAAAACTGCATCAATGGAGCATTTTGTTATTTCGCCGGGTACAGGTCATTCAAATTTTCTGGGCATTCTTGAATTTTGCCTTCCTTCTAACATTGGAAATGAACTGAACTTGAAAAACAACCTGTGAGATTTTTCCTGAAAAAAAATACAAAAATCATCACGACCTATAAAGAGTCTGAACTATTGAGCTGAAAAGATAACTTGGAAAAATTATCTACAAAATTTCAGACCTTTGGTTTGGACGGTGCCCATAAACAGCCTTAACAAGCATTGCGCCTTAAAAATTAATTACCTAGCGAAAACTACGGCAAAAAAACTTGGGTCGACGCTCGTTAAGCCGAAAACGAAACGAAACTGTAGGTATGAAACACTCGAAATATAAAACTTGTTAAAGTAAAATTTTTACGACCCATCCCTCTTGAAGCAGGCAAAAGCAATGAAGAATATTCGCTCTTGAAACTGCGCAACATGAATTGACTAAGCGAATTTAACATACTACGCCGAACACGTTTACTCAAAATAAAAATCCAAAAAATTTTAAACAGATGAAGCTGAGCTTCGCACCACTTGCGATACAAATCAAAAAAGGTTAGTTTTTAAAATAAAAATGCATGCGAAAACAATGGAATGTTAAATAAGCATCGGAAGAAACTTTATCTAACAAAAATAAAGTCGAAAAATACCTTGGCAGAAACACTTGGAGCCAAAAACAAATCAACGAGACTCAAATAACTAGCGCAGGACATCGTTAAAAAAAGAGCTTCCGAAAACATGTACAGAAACAGCGATAGATAAACTAGACTCATCTATCTGATAAAAACGATTATCTATTTGATAAAAAACCCTATATCTCGAAAAACAAAAATATGGGGCCAGGTTTGCTACCCTATATTGTACCCTGACAGCCTCTTCCCATTGGGTTGAGAATTTCAATTTCTATTAGTTATTTTTAAATCTGTTTTTTTTTGAAGAAGTATAGAAAAACCATGGGAAACGCCATATCTTGGAAGCTAAAACAGATTTGAACAGTAAAAATTAAATACCAGATTTGTAACCTGACAGTACCTACTGAACAAACCCTGACAGAAACCCACTATTAGGGTTCAGAATTCCAAGATGACAAGTCCCCGCTCAAGGTTTGAGATTCCAAGTTCTGTTAGTTATTTTTTATTTTTGGAGAAAAAAAATGAATTCATAAAAAACGCCACATCACCAAAATCCAACTGATTTGAGCAGTCATACTTGAACGCCAGATTTCCAACTTATGAGTGTACCATAACAGCACCCCACAATAATGTTGAGAACTTCAAGTTCGGTTTCAAGTTAATTTTGTTTATATATAAGTTTTTTTTTTAATTTGGAAATAATAATAAAAAACGCCATATCTTGAGAACCATAAGGACTCGAGCAGTCATAATTTAATGCCAATTTTGCAAACTCGAAGTTTACTCTGACAGCACCCCACTATAAGCTTGCGTTTTCTTTGATTTTTTTCATTATTTCAAAAAATTTAGAAAAAAAACTACCCGAACATGAAATACTCAATCTTATAGTGGGTTGCTGTCAGGGTGAACTCAAAGGTTGCAAATCTGGCATCCAAGTACGACTGCTCCATTTTTTTGGTTACTGAGATATGGCGTTTTCTTGATTTTTTTCATTATTTCAAAAAATTTAGAAAAAAAACTACCCGAACATGAAATACTCCATATCTCAGTAACCAAAAAGATGGGGCAGTCATACTTGAATGCCAAATTTGCAACCTCTGAGTTCACCCTGACAGCACTCTACTATAGGATTGAGAATTTCAAGTTCGGTTAGTTTTTTATATCTTAGTTTTTTTTGAAAAAAAATTAAATCATGAAAAACGCCATATCTCGAAAAACAAACGAATTTGAGCAGTCATACTTGGACGAAATACTTGCAATCACTGAGTGTACCTTGACAGCATCCCAGCATAGGGTTGATATTTTCAATTTTTGTTAACTAAGTTATGAAATGGAAATTTTAATAGTTTTACGTTTCGAATATAGGAAAAAGTAAAGTCACCAAACCAAAATCAAGCATTACATTATACGAGATAGCTTAAACGTGCAAAAACTCCTTCGCTAAACACGCGAAAAACAAAACGTTGAAAAAGCTTTAAACATGAGAACATAGGGATTTCTCAAACAAGTGTTAAGTGAAACGCCGATTAAATATTGTATAGATAAGTCCCCCTCACCCTCAAAACACAGACACGCACCACAAAGACGCAATATGGCCATTAAGAAGATTTAGATTTGTAGCATTTTGTGCCATAAAATTTTTGTTTTCCTTGAAAACAATCAACATTAGGTCACAGCCAATAAAAAATAGATTGAAATCAATTGGGCTGAGTAAAGTTATCAGCGAAAAAAAAAAGAAAACATAAAAGCTAGTAAAATCAGAACACTGAAAGCAACTATAGCCTAAAAAAACAAAAACAAACAACTATTCTACAATATGACAACTAAGCCGACAAAACATAAGACAAATAATGCGCTGACAGTTTTTTTGTGAAATGGAAGATTTCCCGTTTGAAAAAAAAAACAGGTCAAGTCAGATTCGAATCCCGGGCCTTTGCCGTCCCAGGCGTATTCGTTACCTCCAGGCCAAGTGTGCCGGAGATACAAACAATGAAATAAGAATTAATTAAGAACTGAACCTAAATTTACCATTTCTATTTTTGACCATTCGGTGCTTAAATTTATTTACAGGAAAAAAGTCTAGTACCCGATTGCAATAGCTAAAATATTGAAAATCAGAGTTGGTAAATTAACAAACTACACAGCAACTTTCAGTTATAAATAAACTGGTTAATAAAATTTAAAAACTACTAAATAATCACTACGGAAAAAAATTACTATCCACATGACCTTGAGTACATGCCCACATGTCAGAATTGAGCATGTACGCAGAAAATGCAAGAAATTTATTTTGGGAAAAAGGGTCTAGTTCCCGATTATAAGTCACTTGCTCTCACAAGTGAGAATAAATCAAAAGTCAAACCGCGTTTATCGACTCAATAACAGCAATTACGATAATTTCGCAGATTTAAACCAAATTTTTCGTCAAAATACAACAATTCAGTTCTTCCATGAAAATCAATGTTCCTAAGATACGCAACCTTAATCTTGAATTTTCTTAAGTCCTTCGGTACTCTTGCAGACAGCATATGAAAAAAAAAGATAAGTAATATATTAAATTAAACTTTTTGTACAAATTAAGCGTCCATTTCAACAAACAAAATCACTAGAATTTTCAAGACAGGAAACTTGAAAAAATTAAACATCCAAATGTAATTTAGTAAAAGATCCCCAAGCCAATAATGTAATAAATTATTCATCATTCACAATTAATTTCCGATAAAAAAAAGTAACAAGGTCATTTTCATGGGCATAATTATCATGTAGCTCAATTTTGACATCAGATATTTGTGACCGTTTCTATTACTTCATTAAATCTCCATTGCTTTTAAGGCCTCAATAGCACTTTCCAAATCCATTAACTCTTTTTCCAGTTCTTGAATCTGAAACAGCAGGAATTTTGTAATGGGAGCCTCGAAATCCAACATGAATGACTCCGTAATTTTTTCTCAATCATAAAGCCATTGAGGTCATATGTGGTAGATGTGATATCTCAAAATGGCTAACTAACAATAAAAGCTATTTTGGCTACCTTGAAAAAGAACATGAGCAATAATACATAGTTATTTTTGCATGGAACAACCGGCTCGTTTTCCTACCTTTTCTGTATTTTTGGCTTGTATCGATTCTGGAACTTTGGTGTCGTAGTCTGGCATTTTAGTCTGTTCCTGCAGCTTCTGAAGAGAAGTCGTTTTGGACTCCTGTTTGGTAGCCAACTTCCCAAGTTCTTTTTCTTTGTCAATTATATCCTGAAAAAATGACAGGTTTTTGGGTCCTTAAACTAGTTTCTATAAAAACTAAATTGTGTTTAACGCCTTTAAATTAATGCAAGCTTGCTCCTGTTTCTATTTTATTTCGAAATTCCAGCCCTTAAAAATGCTTACTCCGGCGCGCCACGTTTTCGATTAACTATCGTAAGAACCTTGATTCTTTTCGCCACTTATTAATTGTCTGAAAACCCGGAACACAAATCGGTTTTTTCGTAAGCTTCCTAGAACATCCACCCTCAAATTTTTGGTTAGGTCTCACGGAACCCCACCACAACTTCTAAATCATCGAACTTATACCAGAAGCAAAAAATTCTTTTCGCATTTTCAATTCAAATTTCCATGCAGCTTTAAATTTAAAGCTTTTGATATCAGTTTTGCTGTTCAAGAAACTATGAACATCTTTGGCACGCTTCTAATCAGAATTGATTCAAATTCCAGTAAACTAATACTTTTGAAGTCCCTGCAATAAATTTGCCCTTTTTGTCCAAACTCCAAACCTCTGTTAACTTGGGACACCCAGCAAATTCAAAATATTCAGTAAGTACATCAAGTACTTTCCGAGAGGTAGTTGATGGGATCACTGAAACGTTCATTTCTACGGCAATCTGAAGGAGAGAGAGAGAGAGAGAGGAAATCCTAATAACTGTGATCGCCGCTATTACTTCTTCATCTTCATCGAAAAGAACACGACGACAATACATTGAAAATAACTCACTGAGAGCAGAATGTTGACCTTGCAGAATGGCAGCACACAAACTGCACATCCTTTTGGCACCTTTTCCAGACTGTGTTCGAAGGTCAGTCTGCAGCCAGAGAGAGTGGTGATGAAGTTGGAGAAGTCAAGTATGCATTGTTTCTTATCTTCGCTCACTTCACTCAGACACACTGCAAACAACAAACTGCATCAAAATTCAATCTACACAAAACGAGAGAGTGGTGATGAAGTTGGAGAAGTCAAGTATGCATTGTTTCTTATCTTCGCTCACTTCACTCAGACACACTGCAAACAACAAACTACATCAAAATTCAATCTACACAAAACGAGAGAGTGGTGATGAAGTTGGAGAAGTCAAGTATGCATTGTTTCTTATCTTCGCTCACTTCACTCATACACACTGCAAACAACAAACTACATCAAAATTCAATCTACACAAAACTGTAGTACAAGTCAAGTATGCATTGTTTCTTATCTTCGCTCACTTCACTCAGACACACTGCAAACAACAAACTACATCAAAATTCAATCTACAGTCAAGTATGCATTGTTTCTTATCTTCGCTCACTTCACTCAGACACACTGCAAACAAAAACTACATCAAAATTCAATCTACAGTCAAGTATGCATTGTTTCTTATCTTCGCTCACTTCACTCAGACACACTGCAAACAACAAACTACATCAAAATTCAATCTACACAAAACGAGAGAGTGGTGATGAAGTTGGAGAAGTCAAGTATGCATTGTTTCTTATCTTCGCTCACTTCACTCAGACACACTGCAAACAACAAACTACATCAAATTTCAATCTACACAAAACGAGAGAGTGGTGATGAAGTTGGAGAAGTCAAGTATGCATTGTTTCTTATCTTCGCTCACTTCACTCAGACACACTGCAAACAACAAACTACATCAAAATTCAATCTACACAAAACGAGAGAGTGGTGATGAAGTTGGAGAAGTCAAGTATGCATTGTTTCTTATCTTCGCTCACTTCACTCAGACACACTGCAAACAACAAACTGCATCAAAATTCAATCTACACAAAACGAGAGAGTGGTGATGGAGTTGGAGAAGTCAAGTATGCATTGTTTCTTATCTTCGCTCACTTCACTCAGACACACTGCAAACAACAAACTACATCAAAATTCAATCTACACAAAACGAGAGAGTGGTGATGAAGTTGGAGAAGTCAAGTATGCATTGTTTCTTATCTTCGCTCACTTCACTCAGACACACTGCAAACAACAAACTACATCAAAATTCAATCTACAGAAAACTGTAGTACAAGTCAAGTATGCATTGTTTCTTATCTTCGCTCACTTCACTCAGACACACTACAAACAACAAACTACATCAAAATTCAATCTACACAAAACGAGAGAGTGGTGATGAAGTTGGAGAAGTCAAGTATGCATTGTTTCTTATCTTCGCTCACTTCACTCAGACACACTGCAACGAACAAACTACATCAAAATTCAATCTACACAAAACTGTAGTACAAGTCAAGTATGCATTGTTTCTTATCTTCGCTCACTTCACTCAGACACACTACAAACAACAAACTACATCAAAATTCAATCTACACAAAACGAGAGAGTGGTGATGAAGTTGGAGAAGTCAAGTATGCATTGTTTCTTATCTTCGCTCACTTCACTCAGACACACTGCAACGAACAAACTACATCAAAATTCAATCTACACAAAACGAGAGAGTGGTGATGAAGTTGGAGAAGTCAAGTAAGCATTGTTTCTTATCTTCGCTCACTTCACTCAGACACACTGCAAACAACAAACTACATCAAAATTCAATCTACACAAAACGAGAGAGTGGTGATGAAGTTGGAGAAGTCAAGTATGCATTGTTTCTTATCTTCGCTCACTTCACTCAGACACACTGCAAACAACAAACTGCATCAAAATTGAATCTACAGAAAACTGTAGTACAAGTCAAGTATGCATTGTTTCTTATCTTCGCTCACTTCACTCAGACACACTGCAAACAACAAACTACATCAAAATTCAATCTACACAAAACTGTAGTACAAGTCAAGTATGCATTGTTTCTTATCTTCGCTCACTTCACTCAGACACACTGCAAACAACAAACTACATCAAAATTCAATCTACATAAAACTGTAGTACAAGTCAAGTATGCATTGTTTCTTATCTTCGCTCACTTCACTCAGACACACTGCAAACAACAAACTACATCAAAATTCAATCTACACAAAACGAGAGAGTGGTGATGGAGTTGGAGAAGTCAAGTATGCATTGTTTCTTATCTTCGCTCACTTCACTCAGACACACTGCAAACAACAAACTACATCAAAATTCAATCTACACAAAACGAGAGAGTGGTGATGAAGTTGGAGAAGTCAAGTATGCATTGTTTCTTATCTTCGCTCACTTCACTCAGACACACTGCAAACAACAAACTACATCAAAATTCAATCTACACAAAACGAGAGAGTGGTGATTAAGTTGGAGAAGTCAAGTATGCTTTGTTTCTTATCTTCGCTCACTTCACTCAGACACACTGCAAACAACAAACTGCATCAAAATTCAATCTACAGAAAACTGTAGTACAAGTCAAGTATGCATTGTTTCTTATCTTCGCTCACTTCACTCAGACACACTGCAAACAACAAACTACATCAAAATTCAATCTACACAAAACGAGAGAGTGGCGATGAAGTTGGAGAAGTCAAGTATGCATTGTTTCTTATCTTCGCTCACTTCACTCAGACACACTGCAAACAACAAACTACATCAAAATTCAATCTACAGAAAACTGTAGTACAAGTCAAGTATGCATTGTTTCTTATCTTCGCTCACTTCACTCAGACACACTGCAAACAACAAACTACATCAAAATTCAATCTACACAAAACGAGAGAGTGGCGATGAAGTTGGAGAAGTCAAGTATGCATTGTTTCTTATCTTCGCTCACTTCACTCAGACACACTGCAAACAACAAACTGCATCAAAATTCAATCTACAGAAAACTGTAGTACAAGTCAAGTATGCATTGTTTCTTATCTTCGCTCACTTCACTCAGACACACTGCAAACAACAAACTACATCAAAATTCAATCTACACAAAACGAGAGAGTGGTGATGAAGTTGGAGAAGTCAAGTATGCATTGTTTCTTATCTTCGCTCACTTCACTCAGACACACTGCAAACAACAAACTACATCAAAATTCAATCTACAGAAAACTGTAGTACAAGTCAAGTATGCATTGTTTCTTATCTTCGCTCACTTCACTCAGACACACTGCAAACAACAAACTACATCAAAATTCAATCTACACAAAACGAGAGAGTGGTGATGAAGTTGGAGAAGTCAAGTATGCATTGTTTCTTATCTTCGCTCACTTCACTCAGACACACTGCAAACAACAAACTGCATCAAAATTCAATCTACAGAAAACTGTAGTACAAGTCAAGTATGCATTGTTTCTTATCTTCGCTCACTTCACTCAGACACACTGCAAACAACAAACTACATCAAAATTCAATCTACACAAAACGAGAGAGTGGCGATGAAGTTGGAGAAGTCAAGTATGCATTGTTTCTTATCTTCGCTCACTTCACTCAGACACACTGCAAACAACAAACTACATCAAAATTCAATCTACAGAAAACTGTAGTACAAGTCAAGTATGCATTGTTTCTTATCTTCGCTCACTTCACTAAGACACACTGCAAACAACAAACTACATCAAAATTCAATCTACACAAAACGAGAGAGTGGTGATGAAGTTGGAGAAGTCAAGTATGCATTGTTCCTTATCTTCGCTCACTTCACTCAGACACACTGCAAACAACAAACTGCATCAAAATTCAATCTACACAAAACGAGAGAGTGGTGATGAAGTTGGAGAAGTCAAGTATGCATTGTTTCTTATCTTCACTCAGACACTGCAAACAACAAACTACATCAAAATTCAATCTACACAAAACGAGAGAGTGGTGATGAAGTTGGAGAAGTCAAGTATGCATTGTTTCTTATCTTCACTCAGACACACTGCAAACAACAAACTACATCAAAATTCAATCTACTTAAAACGAGAGAGTGTTGATGAAGTTGGAAAAGTCAAGTATGCATTGTTTCTTATCTTCGCTCACTTCACTCAGACACACTGCAAACAACAAACTACATCAAAATTCGATCTACACAAAACGAGAGAGTGGTGATGAAGTTGGAGAAGTCAAGTATGCATTGTTTCTTATCTTCGCTCACTTCACTCAGACACACTGCAAACAACAAACTGCATCAAAATTCAATCTACAGAAAACTGTAGTACAAGTCAAGTATGCATTGTTTCTTATCTTCGCTCACTTCACTCAGACACACTGCAAACAACAAACTACATCAAAATTCAATCTACACAAAACGAGAGAGTGGTGATGAAGTTGGAGAAGTCAAGTATGCATTGTTTCTTATCTTCGCTCACTTCACTCAGACACACTGCAAACAACAAACTACATCAAAATTCAATCTACATAAAACTTTAGTACAAGTCAAGTATGCATTGTTTCTTATCTTCGCTCACTTCACTCAGACACACTGCAAACAACAAACTACATCAAAATTCAATCTACACAAAACGAGAGAGTGGTGATGGAGTTGGAGAAGTCAAGTATGCATTGTTTCTTATCTTCGCTCACTTCACTCAGACACACTGCAAACAACAAACTACATCAAAATTCAATCTACACAAAACGAGAGAGTGGTGATGAAGTTGGAGAAGTCAAGTATGCATTGTTTCTTATCTTCGCTCACTTCACTCAGACACACTGCAAACAACAAACTGCATCAAAATTCAATCTACAGAAAACTGTAGTACAAGTCAAGTATGCATTGTTTCTTATCTTCGCTCACTTCACTCAGACACACTGCAAACAACAAACTACATCAAAATTCAATCTACACAAAACGAGAGAGTGGTGATGAAGTTGGAGAAGTCAAGTATGCATTGTTTCTTATCTTCGCTCACTTCACTCAGACACACTGCAAACAACAAACTGCATCAAAATTCAATCTACAGAAAACTGTAGTACAAGTCAAGTATGCATTGTTTCTTATCTTCGCTCACTTCACTCAGACACACTGCAAACAACAAACTACATCAAAATTCAATCTACACAAAACGAGAGAGTGGTGATGAAGTTGGAGAAGTCAAGTATGCATTGTTTCTTATCTTCGCTCACTTCACTCAGACACACTGCAAACAACAAACTACATCAAAATTCAATCTACACAAAACGAGAGAGTGGTGATGAAGTTGGAGAAGTCAAGTATGCATTGTTTCTTATCTTCGCTCACTTCACTCAGACACACTGCAAACAACAAACTACATCAAAATTCAATCTACACAAAACGAGAGAGTGGTGATGAAGTTGGAGAAGTCAAGTATGCATTGTTTCTTATCTTCACTCAGACACACTGCAAACAACAAACTACATCAAAATTCAATCTACACAAAACGAGAGAGTGGTGATGAAGTTGGAGAAGTCAAGTATGCATTGTTTCTTATCTTCACTCAGACACACTGCAAACAACAAACTAC